GACAGGGTCTAGCTATGTTACGAGTAGGCCCAGGCTGGGCTCAAACTTGTGATCCTCCTGCCTCAATTTCTGAGTGCTGAGATTACAGGTGTGTGCCACTATCCCTGGCTTCAGTAGTCTTTCAAAGCTAGGGGTTCAGGTCAAGGATTAACCACTAAAATTCATCTGCGATACCTACAGATTTGAGTGAGTTCCTCTTTTCTCCAGGTCCCCAAGGTATCCTGAGTCTTCTGGAGCTGATAGGAAGAGCACTTCTTTATTGGCCTCTACATCTGGAAAGCCTATGAGCCAGGCATCATGCTGCTCCTGCCAAGAAGGCTCTTGCAAACATTGGCTCCATCAGCTTTAGACTCTTAAATCTGGCACAAAGTATATCATTATGAAACATTACATGAAACCCAAAGCCCCGGTAATTTATAATGGTATATTATAGCATTATTTCTAATTATATCCTGTTACAAGATGAAGAAATTCTTAATAAACATAAGCAAATAACTATATTGTTATGCACTGAAGAATATTGAACACCTTTGCAAATTTTGGAGGGATTAGACAGGGAGAAGAGATGAATGTCTCATTTTTATTTACAAAATGCAATTACTAAATTTTATGTTATATTTTATTTGTGATAAAAGAGAGTTTCCTTATATCCAGAGAACAGAACATTATAGAACAAACTGTGTCCCCAAACAAGACCCAACATCATCCTGTTCATTCATTCCTGCCGCATGGAAAACAAATTGCTTTGCTCGGTCTGTGTAGGATGTTTGATGAAGCTGTCACCTTCTAAAGATCCAATGAGTCTATTTGATAAGGAAATGTGCTGTGTTCCTGTGACACATGTCAAAAATAATAACTGAATTATGTTTGATACCATCGTTTCACGCCTATCATAAATAACAAGTAAGAACCTTGATAAATTCCTATGAACTTTGTATAATTTCTTAAATAACAATGTTGTATGAAAAGAAATGTAATCTGCACAAGGCTAGGCCTCACTTGTTTGACAGCGCTTCCCATTCAGATTATCATGTCAAATAAATCAAAGTATTTTCTAACTTTTCTCCTTATAATGTGGAAGCAAAACTAAGAACAGATCCTTTGAGATGTTAAGAGTCCACTAAGAAATTTCAACTTCAACTCATGAACAGGAAGATATCATCCAGAATTTGGTTTAGGGAGAACAACATTAAAATAAGACAACTTAGCTCTTTTGAAACTGAGAAGTGGTTTTCTTACATAATCAACAGCAAAATAAAGTTTAATATGAAACATGTAGGAAAGTATTAAGTTACAAAACCTTGGTATCATGGACAGACCTACTTAAAAGGTAAAGAAACTTCACAATTAAGAGCAGGCCAATGACCAAGAAACCTTTTCAGTTTTGCATCTGTATGTTTTTGATACTAAAGTTGATTTTAAAGAATATGAGTAAGTCCACTAAAATATTTAGTAAGCTTGACAACACAAAAGTTCCTTTACTAAGATTCACATTTTAAAACTTATTTTTTTATCATGCACATGAAATTTCCACTTTTTCATTTTGAGCCATCCAGTCATTTACTTCAAATTAAAAATTACATTTTTCTTCTTTGAACAAAATCACATTTTTTATCCTCACCAAAAACACAGCCCACTTTATTTGAATACTTTTCATACAGAGTTGTTCTTTTACTTTTTTTAGTCATTTTATTTATACCCACCGATTATAATTTTAACCATCAGCAAATTATCTTTTACAGATATGAATTGGAAATATACATTTGTGAATTACATAATTCAGGAGTCTACAACAGGATGGTATATTTATCAATACATTATTTTAAAACTTTCTAGAGGTACAATATTTCAATATACGAAAAAGAACATGTTTATTAATGGATCCAAATTTATTTAGTTTTTCTAAATTAAATAAAAATAAAAGTATGTAAACTTAATCTTATGCTTGGTAATGCATAGTTAGCAGTGTACTTAGTGATGACCTCAGTGCTTAATAAACATCAATTACTTAATTTAATGTAGCCTAACTTTGTTTCAATTTACCAAAATTGTGGAAAATTCTTGTAGATAAGAATTTGGTGCTATCACCAAAGTTGCCTCTCATCTGAAGTAATTTCCTTATTGACTATTTTTTTTAGCAAATGTATTAGGTAAGCACAAATTAAAATTAAAGTTCTAAAAGTGTTAAGTAAATAAGTATTTGTTTTATTGCTCTGCTTGTAGCAATAAAGTAATTTATGTCAAACAATTTACTTTTAATGTGTCTCCACTCACATATTTGTTCTTAGGCTGAATTAATACTTTTTATAATAAAATATTACCTCATGCAAGTTGCAAACCAAGTAGAATAATAATTAATTTCTCATATTATACTTAACAGTGATAGCTCTGAAGACTTACCAATTTTATTATTAAATCAACACTATGAAATTAACCTTATCTCCAAATATTAATTTAAAATATTTGGGTTAATTTTTATATTCTTGGAAAATTTTGGAATATTTAATTTTCATAGGCACTTATTTATTTCAAACCCTTTTTGAACCAAATCTCTTTAAGAGATTTAATTTGATAATACCATCCAGAGGTCGAAAGCTTCACATACACATAATATAAATATATACATACATAAACATATGAAGGAAACATAGGTCTTATAGCTTGCATTTAAATGTTTTTAGCCCTGACACAGTAAAGCACAGTCATACAAAAGTCATTTCTTGGTATAAAATAGTTATCTCTCATCTTTACTCCATTTTATACTTTTACCTGTATCATGTTTCTGATAAAAGTAGGACAAGCTGAAGAAAGTGAATAATGACTAAATTCTTGTTTACCAAAACCAATATTTTATGAAAAGAATTTTAAGGTTATTTTTTTCCCCTGATATGTAATTTTATGGAGGCTGGAGCTACCTTTTCGATGAGTATCTGAGCAGACATCATATGGCTGTCTGGCAGCCTCCAAAGCACATATGTTTGGACAAAACATCTAGTCTACTTTTGCCTGCTTTTCTTTCACCTTTAGGTATTCGGTTTGAGGGAAGCTGAGTCTCTTGGAAGCTCCTAGTGAGTGAAAGTGTGCTCATATCCCAGGACTTTTAGTAAGCTGGAATAGGGGCATGAAGTGAGAAAGGAAAAATCTGTCAGAGGCAGAAAAGGGATGGGCAAGATAGATTTCAAGAGTGGCATAGGAAAGGTTTAAGGAAACAAAAGGAAAAACAGTAAAGATAAGTAGTCGAAGAAGGAATGAGGGGCCAAAACAATAAGAAGGGATTCTCCTAGGTGTGTTGGAGGAAATAGCAAGATTCCCAAAGAGGTCATTGCATTGTTAGTTTATATTCCCAATTGTGCCAGGAAGAAGATAGTGGACAGGTTTACTGGAGCACATGGTCTGCAAAAAATAAAGAAAAGTTTGGTGCACCTAGAAGTCTCAGAGGAGCAACCATTACATAGAAAAACAGAACATCCTCACAAAGACTCAGAGATTAAAAAGGAAAATTCCAGAGCAAGAGTCAGGGAATGAATCTCACTCAAAGCAAGGAGCCAGGAGAAACATTCAGTCCATGACAACAGGAATAACCCACCCACGACAAAGAGCCAGGAAGAAAGACTTCCAGCCCAGCAGGTATACTTTTCAAATAAAAAAGCCTGGGCTTCTAAGTCAGCTTTTTCATGCCTGGGATTCTAGCATAAATACTGGAGTACACTCAAGACCTAAAGAACAGAGAGATGCTTAGTATGACTCAATGGACTGTTTTATAGACAATGCCTCTGGAGTCTGACTTACCCATGGACCCCCTATCAATTAATGAGGAGCAAAGACAAAGCCTTCGAAGGGTAAACATGTGCTTCAGATTGAGAGGTCTGCTGCACCTAATGACTGATCTAATCCTGAGTCATGGCACCTTGATTGACAAAGTAACAATTACTACTGACACTTGCTAAAGGACATTAAGGAAAACTTTTTTTTCTTTTTTTCATGAGACGCATACTATAGGCACAGAAGAGTATTTCAGTGGGGTTTTGTAGTATGGAAGAGAAACCAGCTTCAACTACAAATAAATGAGAGCAGAAATTTCTAGCCAAGGTGCAGATTTGCGAGATAAAGCTGGTGGGCAGAAAATTACTAAGTGGAATTTCTGAGGTAAAAAGGATTTTGACTCACCTGACCTAGCAATCGTAGTTCTGAGGGTAGTTCAAAATGACCAGATATCAACTGGGAGATGGGAGAGATGAGGAACTCATTTAGATATCTAGTGTAATCAAATGTAAACAGTTATGGGTTATCTTTAAAAATACTTAACAGGTGTCCTACTAAGAGATCAATATGGAAGTCTGAAAGTTGAAATCACCTTGAGAGGAGAGTTCAAAGGAGACTAAGTAGAGTTTGGTCATGAGAGAAACTTTGTCCTTAGGAATAACTTCCAGAGTCCTAGAAGACAAGAAGCTATCTATACAAGATTGCTTGGAAGATGATGTTTCAACCTTGGAAGCAAATGTTGAAGTAAAGGAAATAACTAAATGAAGAAAATATTTCTTTTATTTTTGCAAGCTTTTCAGGCATATTTTTGAGTGGTTTCATGTGTAAGAATTCCATTGTCCATATTAATTTCAGTTTTTGAGTGGCAGGAACATATACAGGGCAAAATTACATGGCAAAGAAAAATGTCAAATGAAGAAGCACTTCTTAGTGTCTAATAATTACCCAGGTATCACATAAATGTATACTATCAGTTTTCAAATAAACACGCTAAGCGTGAGGAAAATTCTTTTCACAAGGTGAGTAACATTCACATTTTAGAAGAGAAGGTATATTCTGTATTTATGTTGGGGCCTACTCCACATCCTTTCTCAACAAGCATGTAAACCTGATTCTTTAATTAATATTTTAAGAGATTAACTTGTGAAGCAGTTCATGGATAATGTTATTACTAGTGATTTATTCTTGTTTGTCTGCTGTCATTTGCTTATTAGATTTTGCATAATTAAGCATTCTGGTCAACTCTGCTTATGACACAGTTTCTCTAAGACCAGGTTTCTTATCTGCTGACTCTTCACACAGTATACAATGGGGTTCATAAGTGGAGGCACCAGCAGGAAAACATCAGCCATAAGGATCCTTATTAGTACAGAACTGTGTTTGGCAAACCGGTGGATGATAGCAAGGGAGATCACAGGCACATAGAAAATAAGCACAGCGCAGATGTGGGAGACACAGGTGTTGAGGACCTTGAGCCTTTCCTTCTGTGATGCTATGCTCAGCACTGCTTTCAGTATCATCACATAGGACATGAAAATAAAGGTTATGTCTAGGATACCTGTGAGAGCCACAAATAAGCCATAGATGACATTGACCTTGTTGTCAGAGCAGGCCAGCTTCATGATATCTTGATGGAGGCAGTAGGAATGGGACAGGAAATTCTTCTTACAGTATCTCAGATGTTTCAGAGTGAAAGGAAAAGGTAAAATCAACAAAACATTCTTGAGAGAAAAAGCAACCCCAATTTGAGCAACTCTGGCAATGGTAAGGATGGAAGTATATCGGAGAGGGTTGCAGATGGCAATAAAGCGATCAAAGGACATGATAAGAAGTACAGATGATTCCATAGCTGAGAATTCATGAATGAAAAATTCTTGGGCAAAGCAAGCATTAGGAGAAATCTCTGAAGCACTGAATAAGAAAATCCTAAGCATGGTAGGCAGAGAAGAGAGGGATAGTCCCAAGTCACAGAGAGCCAGCATGGAGAGGAAGTAATACATGGGCTCATGCAAAGAAGGCTCAGTTTTTATGAAAAAGAGGATGGTGCAGTTCCCCAGAAGAGCAACAATGTACATGAGACATATGGGGATCGAGACCCAAATGTTGGCAGACTCCATCCCTGGGAACCCAACCAAATAAAAAGTAGGTGTTTCAGCTTCAGAGGTGGTGTTGAAGTTGGACATGGCAGGATGCAAGGAAATCAAGATGAAAGGCTCACAAGAGGTCCTGTCCTGGTACAAATTAATTGGCTCAAACAGCTGATTCTATTCTGTTGCTACCATCATGGTCTTGTCAAGAACACTTTTTTTTTTGTTTTTTTCTGGTACTGGGAATTGAACTAGGACCTTGTGTTTGCCAGGCAGGTACAGCACCACTGAGCTACATCCCCAGCCTGGTCTTGTTAAAACAAATAATAGAGACCCAATTCTTGGATATAATCTGAAGGGAGAGAAATCAATGAGAAAAGAATTCAAAATCAAATGAAAGCAAGCAAAGTAGATAAAAGAAATTCATATCAAAATCTAATCTTTTAAGAGGTACAGATGATAACATACACAGAATTTACATAAGAACTATATAAAAAAGAAAATTATTAGATGCTTATTATCCAATTTAAAAAGTGGAGACTTTTGCTTTTATATGTAAATACAACAATCTATTTCCTGATAAGTGTTTGTTCAAATTTTCAATAAGTCTACAGAAAATTCAAGGAGAAGTAACATCTACTTATATGGTGTCATGTTTTACTAATAGAGAGTTAATTATTAGAGGTAGTATCCTCGATTTCCCAAGATGTTGTTCTGATGCTAATCTGAAAGGAGCAAGAGGAATGTTTAATGGAAAACTGAGGATATTCAGTATTCCAACAGGACTGTGCAAAAGTTGTTATTTGCTTTGTTTATTATTAGAAGTTCTTTTCTCTTGGGTAAGAGTACTCAAAATGCATATAATGTCAAAATTGGTGAGGTAAATGTAAAGTTTGGGAATGCGCTCTTGCTGCATAGATTTATTCTTCCACCTGGCTTGGCCAGTGAAACCCAGTCCAGGCTTCAAACCCTCGGCTTCCCTGTGGCTGGCTCCCTCCTCTCCTAACAATAGCTCCCATATATATATGGAGATAATGATGCTGCTCTTCTTTTGGTTTCCTCTCAGGTATTTTACAGTAAAAGGTCCCTAAACTTCACACTTTTTCAAGATATTGATAGCATTTTGGCACGAAAACCCATATTAGTAGTTTTAATCAATGTATGCTTTTAAAATCTATGTATTAAATCTCCCTCTACCAAATCTAACTAATAATAGTTTATATTAGCTATCTTAGTAGAATGAAAGATTATTTGTTTACTAAAATAATCAATAAAAATAGGATAATAAAATTTTCAAGTGGCATACTATTTTCTCTTCATTATCGATCTCTTTGTCTCTTAAATTACAAAAAAAGGAAAAGAAAAAAGTACCTTGTTAGAATATTTCATGTGTCTCAGAAAAAGACAAACTTTAATTTTGATGTAGAGAGTGTCACTTTTGGAGAAACTAGAGGAAAACTGAAACATTCCACTGAAAATTTTCTAATATTCTGTGTTTAGCTAGCTCAGGTGAACCTTCTCAACTAAATTCTCTAATTTGTAAAAATGTTAAAAACTAAACTGTTTCAATAGCAAATATAGAATGTACTTTAATAATGGGATTAGCATAAAGTTCAGCATTTATATGGAAGTTAAATATAAGATTGTTTATCACATTCTTTACATAAAGAATACAGTGACATTTAATGGGTCAGGACAGAACTAGAATGTTTCAGTATATGCTGAAGTGGAAAAAGTATTAAAGAGTAAAATCAGAATATTTTATCAAAGATAAACTACTTATTCTAGTGCTCTTGGTTGATGAAATCCACAGTGGGGACATTAATTAGGGTTTTCAAGCACTTACCAAAACGACAGTCACTGGGTCTACACTTAAAGACCAGGAAGACCTGAACTGAGGATGAGGCCAGCACCCCAAACCCAATTCTGAGTCACGTGTGTAAATTCTAGTCCTTCAATGCTGATGCCTTTTTAGTAGAAGCTATGCCTCTGGGGACTATACTCAGTAGGCCATCCCCAAAGGTCATCTACTCAGGTGAGGCCCTAAGTAAAAGTCATTCAGGAAGAATTCAGCGATTGCTCTTATTCATATGTATTGCCCTCCCCCACTTTCTTTAACAGAATTGGTTTCTCTTTCTTTTTTAAAAAAATTGAGTTTATTGGTACATTTTAGGGATAGAGTACAGTTACATTCATAATTGGGATCTTGTACCTTTACATGATAGGTCTTGGTTCTCATTTTTTTCCCTTGTCCCTGCCCTCCCTTCACCCCCTTCTCCCCTCCCCATTTACAAACACTTTATTTCCCTTTTATTCATATTTTTTCTTTTCCCTTATTATCTTCCCCTACCCTTCCCACTTTCTGTACACTTTTAGCCCTTTTGTTCCTATTTCTTTCCTATTTTCTTCCTATTGTTAATTATCTCATTAGGATCATATATACATCTAGATTCCTCCAGAGAAGAGGTCACACTTTATTTTCCTAGGTGATTATGTTTGTGATATTATAAATGAATTAACAGACTAATTTTTGCATCTTGCTTATACCTGTAATTTTCACCTTATAAATTGAGAGGTGTTAATTTTTTTCAGCTTTAATTGAGTTTATTGGTACATTTTAGGGATGCAGTACAGTTACATTCAAAGTTGGGATCTTGTACCTCTACATGACAAGTCTTGATTCTCATTTTTTCCCCTTACCTCTGCCCTCCCTTCACCCCCTCCTCCCCTCCCCATCTACAAACACTTTATTTTCATCTTTTCATTCTCTCACATTTTTCTTTTCCCTTTTTACTCCTCCCCTACCCATCCCACCTTCCCTACACGTTTAGAAATGGGAAGAAAAGAGAGGTGTTAATTTTTAAAAAACAATGTTCAAAAGCATTTGAATTTCTTTTTGGAGGCCAATACATGTACATGACTTACCCACTTTTAAATTTCATTAGTCTGTGAGAGTACTTTTCATATTAAGTAAACTAGATTTTAATTGTTACTTGCAAAGAATTTTCCCTTTATTTCACTTTTATTTGGTTTCATTCCCTTTGAACTAAACAGTGAACATTTGTGTGCAGAAGTTTATGGGGAAAGTTTTCTCCAGCTAGCAGAGAAAAGCCTACATTGAACCCTACGGTGATCTCAGGAGCTAATATTACCCCCATAACCCCACATCCCTGGCTCAGAATTTTCCTAAATTGAAGGAAAAAAACAGGCTTTTAAACCACCTATTGATAGGGTAGTAGCATTAGTCTCCCCACAGGAGTGGGACATGATCTTGGGTTTGGTGGTTCTTCTTTTTCAAAAGAAAGAAATACTCAGGAAGAACTTGAATTAGATTTCCCAGCTATGACACTCACTAGGGAATATTTTTTTTAGAACACAACTCAGCATACTACACCTCTTTGGAGGCTCTCAATGCTATGAGCCATCTCTCTCATCTATAAATTTTAGATTCTTGTCACTTCAGCTGGTATTACAACCTTGACTTCTATAAATTTTGCAAGCTTTGTCCTTTGCATTTGTCCATTTACCATCAAAACAAGGCAAGAATGGCAAGAGATGTCCAAGAATCATCTAACAACCTGGCCACAGTGCACCTTGAATACCAGTGGTACTCAATTGTAGAGTCAATTATTTTTTTCATTTGCTAGGACCTTAGAATGATGCAAAAAAAGAAATAAATGAGTGAAAAATAACCCATAGTATGGGAAAAAATTCCCAGCTATTCCTGTGACAGGGGATAAATATATAGAAATAAAAAGGGCAAAGAAAAATTAGAAAAAAAATTAGAGAGTCAAGTGAAATAAGTCAGACCCAGAAGCTTAAATGTCACATGGTTTATCTTATATGTGAAACTGAAATTATAAAGAGCAAGAAAAAAAACAGATAATAGGAAGTAGAGAGATAGATCTTTCTCAAATGGGAAGAGGATCAAGAGACAGAGGACTAGAGGGCAGGGAGGGAAAGGATGATAAAAATCAATTAAGACATGTTGTATTCATGTATGGACTCCACCCAAAGTATGTAAACATTGTATACTGCAAACATGTACTACTAATGATAAAATTTAAAAAAATAAAAATAAGAGAGAGACTCCTAAAGACATCCCCACTTAGATCAAAGTGATTACAGATGTGACCACTTTATCTCTTTTCATATGACTTGACTTTGATGATTGGTCAGGGAATAAGGGTTAAAATTCTCTGCACCCAATCTTCTTTGATAACACTTCTGTCCAGCATATAGTACACAGTCATAAAGCACTACAAAAACGAGGGCTAAAAATGACATCAGATAATTACATTGGTACCTCGGCTCACAAACACTTTTGTTCATGGATAATTTTGGTCTTAAACAGAAGTGTTTGGCAAAATTTTGTTTTTGTTTGTGAACCTTGTATCAGGTAATGAACATAACTGCAGCTATCTTTCCTGCATGAATATAAATATGGCCATGTTTTTCAGAATCATAGAATGAATTATTTGTGAACCAGTATTTTCTCCCTTGAGCAGCTATTTTTCCCAAAAAGATAACTTGCAGATATACCTAAATCTAAAGAGCCTTCTTTCTAAGCCCTATACATGAGGCATTTTACCTCAGATAGAAAAAAAAGGTCAAAAAATTAGAAGAAAGACCACAAACCCCTCAATAAGACCTGGTCAAGCCTCCTTCGAGATCTTTAATAATAGAAACTAGGAGATAAAATAGCACAAACACACACACACACACACACACACACACACACACACACGGCGGGGGGCTAAAAACCAGCTACTGACATGTGCCTTTTAGGACAATCAGAAGTAGGGACAAACTTCTAGCAGTTCATCTCAGGAGGTTCTGGATCATGTTGTGAATATAACACAAAGAGACATTGGGCCACAGTTTGCATAAAGCTTCAGCCACCACCTAGGCTGTGTCTTAAAGGGACATTAAAAATGGTTCCGGCACCTGCCTCATAAGTGCAAGGAACGGAGTTCTATCCCTGGTACCAAAATCAAAAGCAAAAACAAAAACAAAATAATCAGATTGCCCAAGACCTCTGGAGAGGGGACCATCTGTTCCAACCCCAAGGCCAACTCCAGCCTGTCTTATCTCAG